GAATCGGGAAGCGGAGACCGAGGAGTCTGGCTCCACAGTTATGCTTCAGTGTGGAAGTACAGTCTGGCAGGAAACGTGGTGAAACGAATACCTGAATATAATACTAAGTCGTTGCATGAGATCATAACGGCCAGGCGTTTTAATTAGCATATTTGTGCACTAAGAACATATTATATCGCACGGTGCTGCATTTACTCAACGCCATTAATTTTCAAGTTAAGCTGATGCAATATTTTGATTGCAATAGTATAATGTGGAGCTAGGCTCCTCGGTCTCCGCTTCCCGATTCCTAGCGTTCCTAGACAAGCCCGGTTGGTTTGCTTTGGACATCTTTATTAAAGACGACAAGATGTATAGGGAAAATACAATATTCAAGAAGGAGGGGAGCCGCAGTCACTAGGTAAGGGAGAGGATGATCCGGTCACGAGATTCGAATTTCCTGGTTGCCTCCTCCCTGAAAGGCACATTAAAACAACATAAGTATTACAATAATGTATTACAAGAGGTTCAAACCTAGTATTAACCAAATACGGTAGTAGTAGGACATTAAAATAACAAAACGGCGTTGGATTCGTCATAATTATTATTCCGCAACCAAAAAAATTGGTAAAATGCATAAAACAGTCACTGGCACAGCCGTCATAGCCACGGTAACTTGCAAGATGATCGAGAAATTGTAGGCAGCTCGCTGCTCCGATCTGACCTGGTCTGATGTTCTCACTTTCTGTGACTCAATTAAAATTGTCTATCGTAGCAGATGCTGGGTTTACAACGGACTCCCAAATACTCTTTTGGCTGATATGTTATTTCATTGAACGATTGACAAAATTTTTGCAACATAGAAATTCCATCTGCTATTTGATCATCGGGTTGCACAACTAGGCCTAAACTTTTAACTGCGTTAGTGCAATTTTAAGGCATTAAAGCTTTAAAAGTGACTCTTAGTGGCACAATCAAGTGTTCTTTTATGCAAACGTACATTTACTAGTCTGCATTATTTTCTGCTTAAGTTCAACTTTACCGACCCGAAATGCATCTAAGAATGGATAATAATTTTCAGCTATCCTTTGATATGGCGTATGAACGACCTTTTAGTACTAATGAAAGGTACATAATACCCCTCAATCAAAATACTATTGTTAAAATTGGCCTAAAGATGAAGCGCAATTAGGGAAACCATGTTAGCGTACTGCTTTGAGGATTGACTTGATGAAAAACAACTTTCCAGTAAAGTTTTGACTGCCTAAATATGTAAAACCTAGTGCGTGAGATGCCTTCCAATGCATTTTTGGTGTTGCTATTAGTTTTAGCTTTGAAACTGGTATAGAACCATCTGCTGACGCCGGATTATGCCATTGTTACAAGCTTTGTTAGATTTGTTGTTTCTTGATCTATGTCTTTGCAACGAATATTTTACTAATTTTACTCGTTCATAGTGTGTTGAGGGGTAGTTGGTAGACCTTATGCCTAGTGAACCGCCTCGTTTTGTATTTTGTCAACTAACCTTCAATTTTGTGTTTATTTTCTGTGTTATTGATTTGTGCTTATTGATATCACACCCATTAACATCATTAAAATTCACATTGTTATAGAGTCTGGTACTTTTGCCTGCACTGGTTAAACGCGTCATTTTTTCCTTGAATTTCATAATTTCTTTCTTTATTAATGGTTAGAAAGATGCGGTCAGCGATATGTCATCACTTTTTGGCGGGATACTGCCGTAACGGTGACGATTGCATTTTTATTCATGTTAATCCGACCCACAAGCCTCGTTCTTCATGCAATTACTCATTCCCCAGCACTGAGAGGTTGGTAAGACCACTAACTTCTGATTATTTGAAACGCATTTGTAGTTAGCAATACGGGGATTAGGCCTTTTGTTTGTGCAGTTTTCTACGCCTGTCCTACTGTAAATGCCCCTTAATATCTATAGAAGTTAAACCTTCAAGATGGATATTTCATGGAATCTCGAGTAGATTTCTTCATTGGTTAATAGCTCTGAAAGTTGAGTTTTTATTCATCGTAAAGCTTGAGTTAATGCGACAGCTAAATTCCAGCCACTGCTGCTGATTTTGACACTGTGCCATCGCCTTAATTCAGCTTAGTTATCTCATCGTACATCTTCATTCCTCCAACTGTTGATTGACCGCTTATTCAAAATGCCCCGAAGGTATTTGTTTGGTGAATTCACCGAATTTGAGTGGTGCCGTAACTAACTGGGCCATGGTAGCATGCAATATTACGATTGGTTTGTGAACCCTCCCTACTATTACTTCCAGAAATTTCCCGCGAAACCCCGGAGTCCCACGAATATGTCGATTCTATCAAATGGGGTACTGTGCATATGGAGCTGGCTGTGAGTTCCTTCATCCACGTAATAGAGGTATGTTGTTTCGTTTACCGTGCGATATTTTTTGTAATGAACATTGTGGATAGGTTGCTGCGTTCCTAGTTAAGCTCATAGGATGCGCATCTAATTAGTTTATTAGTTTTACTTATTTTTTGTGATTCAAATACTTGAGGCTTTTTAGTTTATTATTAAACGTTAGACCTACCAATCGGTGGAGCCCCTTTTGTGAAATCTCGGCCATTCTCACAGTAGACTTTCACAAAGCAGATATTTGGTAACGGTCGTGTTATCTGAAAATCACCTAATCTGCCCAGAGGCAGCGTATTTATTCAGAATGTAATACATTTTGTCGCCCACTCAACTCAATGCAATCCCAAGCTCTATTGTCATAACAAAGGCATACTTTTGAGTGTATTCTTTTTCGTTGCAATAAGTGTACTGCTTATTTTACTCAAAATGTGTTCTTTCTAACACTACGACGAAACACAACGATCGAAATACACTTACATTCAGTGATTCATCTCACTATTCCTAGTGGAATTTTAGTGATCAGATTTATTTATCAGCTTCTTGTTACATATTCTGCTTCCTTCTTTACATTTCTAAACATTTTCCTCTCTATTGTACTTCACACAGCAGAACTTCAGCCATGTTCGTATTATTTTGTAGTAAATTAGTCTCTAGTGGCTGGGTGGTTGATTTACTTTCTTTTTTTGTTTTTCTATTTGTATGTGCACTATCAGCGTCATTGTTTATATACTGGAATGTTATCTCAGTCACTTCGTTAGCTAAAATGCTAAACCTCATTTTGTCTAGTGTCTGTGAACTGAAAGCGAGGTGTACTATTTTTAGCATTGAACGCCCCTAAACAGTTACCCAAAGGTGTCATTACTTGGCCTCCAGCACCCAACAGTAAATCTGATCGATTTCACTTTCGGAAGTCTACTGATGCTGAATCTACTCCCGTACCGACTTTCTCATTCAAGAAGACGCTGGAATCACTGCTACCGCGGGACGATGAATCGGCTGTGTTGACAAAGCGAGAGGATTTCGGCTACAAGAGAGGGGAAGTGTTCTCTGCCAGAGACAGTCTCTCAGCGGAGGATCTGAAGATCTACTCTAAGAAGGGGGAAAACGGTTTCTCGTCCATTCCTCTCCTACCCCCACCGGAAGAGCTGTGTTTTTGACACTTGTATCATTAATGACCATACTCTCGTGCAAGTGTCGTCCTTTGGGTTTGGTTCCGTCGCGCCCTTGGGGTTGGGGGGGGGTGGTTTGTTTCCGGGTGGGGGTGCGGATGTGGGCGGTCTGCCGTGTGCTTCTTGGGTTGGTCCTGTTTGCTAAATGTGAGTGCTAACCAGGGAGAGACAGTTGGTATGGGTGCCCTTCTACAATCCCACCAAATACTCCGGACTTTTCAATGCATTGGAGGAGCGAATAATAGGTCGCTCGAGCATATACTTCAGCCCCTATTCGCCAAGCTGAAAGTCTGCCACCCAATTATAAAATTAAAGATAAAATGAGTCTGAATAATCCTCATAGTGTATGCCACCTATAAACTACATTAAATAGCTTCTTCTCTAATTCCCAGGCTTGATCATTTCTTTCATTTAGCCCATCTTCAATTTTGGCGAAACTTTCGAAATAATTGGGGTGAATTAACGAGTGATTTGATTGGCGAAATGTACCGTTCTGCCTCGTTCCCCGATGCTTGCTTAGGAATTTATGAGTTTTTTTCCTGGTTAAGTTATGTGATGGATACGATTTGTATAAGTTTGTACACTTTAAAATAGAACATCCTACTGGGCTCTAAATGGCCTCGAGTACATTTCAATGGGCAGTCCTCGATGTTTGTTTATCATGACTTTAGATCCCGGCGTTGATGGACTTCCTCTTTCAGAATGTCCCTCAAATAATTCAAGCAATTTTCTTTGATGACAAATCCATACTCGAGTGTACGCCGAATGTGGATGACATTAATTACAAAGTGAGTTTATTTTACTTGATTGATTTATCAGCTCCGCTTTCTTATGAAATTTCTCACACCTTCAAGGATACACAACTGAGAACTCCACTACACGCGGCAGCACATGCTGGAGATGTGGACTTCGTTGAATTCTTACTGACTAACAACGCGCGTGTCAATGTAAAGGATATAAAGTGGTACACTCCCCTTCATCACGCATGTGCGTCGGATGCTCCCTCGGTGGTACAGGTGCTTGTTCATCCTCTTTACTTTGGGTGACTGTGGTTGAGTTGTAAATATGCTGGTTTCTAGGTTTCGTGTAAAGTACACGCACAAATGTGATCATTTATATGGGCTGGTTACAGGCATCTTTTACACCATTAGAATGGGAAGTTTTTTGTTTTACAATCATTGATCATTTTAGTTCCGCCAAAAATGCACCCATGTTAAATTAGTTAATCCAAAGGCATTTTTTATAATAATGCGCTGATCATAAGCTCAACTTACCTGAGCTAAAACTGAGGCGGGTTGAAGTGGGCTATGCATTTTATTGTGAAATATTCTTGAAGAGTACCGTATAATTCATGTTTGTTATTTTCTAGCTCTTATTAGACAACGGTGCAGACAGGAATATGCGAGAGAAGGGCTGGCTCACTCCTCTACATGTTGCTGCGTATAATGGCAGCTTGGAGTGCGCTCGTCTCTTACTCTTTTACAACACCGAAGACGGTGAATGTGGCACGAATGTAAACGCTTCGGATCGTGGTGGCCACGCTCCTTTACACCACGCGGTTTATGGGGGACACTTGGATGTAGGAACCTTTTCTTCTTTTAGCATGATGCTGCTTTTAGCATTCTTTATCAAGGCGCACTTGTACTTACCAAACTTTAGATGGTCCGTTTGCTCCTGACAAACGGTGCCTCTGTGAACGCCTTCGACAAAAACGATCGGCGTGCCATGCATTGGGCGGCTGCCTGTGATCTTCCCAGTGTGAGTTTAACCTCTCAACTTGTAGTATATAGCTATTATCATTTATTTCTCTATCAATCTTTCGACCCATAAACGTATTTGAAAAACATTGACAACCATAATTATGGTTTTGCAAACTCCACCATATTTTTTGTTTTTCATTCTCTAGACAACCTTCTTCAAAGAGGTTAAACAAGCCAAACACATCTTTAGTGTTGTGTGATTATGTATTGTAATTTGCATGCGTGGATTCCGTCAAATTAAATAGGCATAACAAGTGGCCAGTTGTTCACGATATTTTATATATTTTCTCGACAGATCATGGAGTTGCTCTGCGAATTCGGCGCTGAGGTGAATTGTCGGGACAAATTTTTGTACACTCCTTTGCATGTTGCCGCAGCCCTTGGACACGTCAACGTGGCAAAGCAACTAATGGACCGTGGGGCAGAGCTTGATGCTGTTACCGCAAGAGTGAGTCACACACTTTGAGTGGAGCTCAGACAACCCGAGTGGTTAGCAATAAGAACACCGTTCATGGCTAAAGCACAAATTAGGAAACCAATCGGGGTTTGAGTGCTACTACCACCACTACTACTAGGAAGCGAGACAGTCATGCAATATCTAAAATCGGTTGCTTTGAAATGTCTGTATACAAGATTCCTTCCATCTCGGCTCTTAATACCAATGACTGGAAGACGGAGGCAAGTGTTGACATTCAATCCCGCTTGTTTTATTTTGTTGCCCCAAATACTGAACTGTTCTTCTTCTGAATTATTGCAGGGCAATTCTGTTTTACATACGGCATGCCTGAATGGCAGTAGAGAAAACGTGAAGGCGATTTTGGAGAGACTGGCGATGAGCCAAGATGCTGAAGTGCTAATAAGGAAGGCATTGACTGAGTGCAACAGCGATGGCTACACTGCGCTCCATCTCTCCGTCATTAGCCCGGGAGGTGCGGGATGCTTGGAGGAACTGATTTCCTTCTGCATTCAATTTGATGAACAGAGACTGGCAAGTCCATCAACTTCTACTGCGCCACCATCACCGACACTTTTATTGAATCCAGAAATCGCCGGAGGATATAACTCCTGGACTCCACTGCATCTGGCTGCGGTTTATGGCAGGTAAATGAAAAAAATTCAGTGTGACATGCTCTGTTAGTCTAGGAGAACAGAGCCCGTTCTCGTAATTTTAGTGTTCGAGGCTGCTCCAAATTGACGGTGTTTATTGCTAGAAATGTCTAGGTTTTAAGCCACGATCATGATAGCAAGATTCGTTTTGACCTCTGAGAACTCAGCTCCGGTGTTTTGATTTTGCAGCCAATTTAGTAGCGGACGTTATCGTCAGATCTGCCCTTAAGAGTTTTCCAGTGTTGACACTACTATCACGAACTAGGTGAGATTTTTATAAGTCTGCCGCGCTCATCCAGTGTTTGTGTGCTTTTATTACTTAATACATAGTAAGTACTGGTCCATCCACATCTTCTTGCAGGTGGTCAAAGGGGTAGGGGTTCATTTCTTTAAGCCTAGCACATCTTAAATAAATTTGTCAGGGCTCACAGGTCTTACATATTGCCTCGGGCCAAGGAGACTTTTTCCGCCATTGCGTTCATCGTCAATTTCCAATTCTTTTCACTTACTCAACGATTACTACTTTGCGTAATCTGAAACCCTTGGGTAAATTGGCATCTCTAGTCACTGGTTATTTCTCATCTATGTTGTCAAGTGTTGATTCGTAGGGCTGGATCATCATTTTTGGATAACACTTATTCTACTTATATTTTTGGTTATTGTAATTGAGGTTTTCAGTTGTTGAGGCGTTTTTTTACAACTTCTGCAATTGAAATATACTCCAAAACCGTCAAATCACGACGGTTTAGTTCATAAAAGAAGATGATTTTTATTGAGTAGAAACCGTGCTTATTTCTTTTCAGAGTTCTCTGCTATCCCAGTTCAGGGAGATTTTCCAGCATGACTTAACCATCATTTAGCAATCCTCCCGTCTTGATGTCCAATATGCACCAGTTTTTCAAGATTGCGAATGTTCATGAGTGATTGTGCTGTGTCCAGCGCTGCCACAGAAAGAAGATTGTCTGTTGTGTGACCTAGTCACATGACAGGTGTTGATGTGCCAATCAAGGATCGAGGGTGAGACGGAGGTTAGATGCGCTGGGAGAATGTTTGTGGTGCTAGATGGATGCTGTGCTGCTGCCTGTGGACCAGGACTGTGGGCTGGGGTTGTGGACCGTGAGCATTGGGTTTGGCGACTGAGCGGCAACTTTTTGCATCAGTATTCGGTAGTTTGGTTTGATGTGGTGTGGTGTAGTGTAGTGTGATGGCGTGTTGTGTCTGAAGCCTGTTGTAGATAGGAGTCGATAACGTTGCTTAGGTTGAAACTGTTTGCCTTGATAGGGAAGAGATTGATTTCCTTACCACAGGCTATTGTGTTCAGGTACTCCTACACTCTCGCACCTCAAGCACTCATTCACTCGGTCATGCATGCACACGCCACGGCTGTGGTCCAAGTCACGTGCACCGGCAAATTTATGTGTTAAGACATAATTATAATTTACTACAGTGCGTATCGCTGATACGACGGTAAAATTGGATGTTGCGATCTGGCCTGAATGCCTACCTTACTTCTAATGTAGGCTTGTTGAGAAGTAATGTAACAGGCTACCAACCCACATGGTCATTTTGGTAGCATGGAAGCAGCGTAGGTCTGTAACATAGGAATATGTGTTTCTGAACTAAACCAGTAGCGAAAGATTAAGGATCTATGGTGCTGACTCCATTGTGTAGAAACAAACAAGCGGAGACGCTATTACAAATGGAAGTCAATCGGCAGCCTTTGGACAGACATGGAAACACCCCACTCCACCTGGCAGCCGGCAGAGGTCACGAGTTGGTACTCACCACCCTCCTCGACGCTGGCGCCCCATGGAATGCCCTTGGTAACGGTGGTGCCACCCCCTTGCACTGTGCCGCCGCTTCCGGCTACTCCTCCTGTCTCAGTCGGTGAGTTCCGACCACTTTGTTTTCTCCTGCATCTCTACGTATTTTGGGCTGTTTTCATAATTGTAACGAAGTAGCTTCGAATTTGCTACTATTCAAACTTCACCACTTTTTTATCTTTTTATCAGTTCATCTAGCAATTTCATTGTAAAGGGAATTAATCATAATAGAATTTGGACTGACGGTTCATTTCCAGTCTACGATGACATCCATAGTACCATACTTTGGTTCACTACTTACAAAGATATTTTTAAATTTTGCTTTTTCAATGGTTTTCCTTGTTAGTTGTAATTCGACCTACACTCGGTCAAATAAATGTTCTCAAGAAAAGCGATTGACGTAAGAAATCCGCACTCCGTGGAATATCATCCACCCTTAAGCAAAACGTGGCATATGAACCCGCACAATGCGGTTCATAGTCCGAAAATAATGCGTGAATTCTCCGAGGTCTACGGGATGCGCGCCTAACTGCCTCTGAATGATAAAGATAATTGCGGTATTCGTTCCTATCTCGCAGCCAGCTTCATTTTACGAGAATCCTATTGTGATGGTTGTCCTAAAATAACGCGATCACGGCGAGCATCAAGGGTAGTGCTCAAAATACGAGGGAGCTATTGTAACACACTGCGCGAGCATTCTCTGTGGGTACGCCATTTCTGTTACCATTACACAAGTTCTTCTGCACGAGAAACAAATCGCTGAAGCAAAAATCAAAATCATTTAATGGTGCCCATTCGTCCTTCAGCTTGCTGGAGGTGGCGACGAAGTACTGGGATGAGGTGGAAATGGCGGTTGAGGAGTTTGCAGAGGTAGAAGAGGGTTATCCCCTCTACACGCGTCCCATGCGCGCCCTCAAGGATGATATGGGTCGAAACCTAGTGCACGCCGCTGCTCTGGGCGGTTCAATCGAGTGCCTGCGCAGCGTCCTTTTCGCTGGCGGCGGACCATTCGAGGTGGATCGATTCGGGCGCACTGCACTCCACTTTGCAATACTCTCCGTCGCATTGGCCCGTCGCTACACTACGGACGAACCACCCATCCGCGTGCCCATCAAGTGCAGCTCTACTTCTGAAGTGGTCCGTGTCCTTCTCAAGGTGTGTAGTTTCTATCGCATTTTTAAATTTCAAGCCGAACCCGAAAGGGAAGAGAAAATTTAGATTTTGTTCACGTAGTCTTCTGCTATAGGTTACACAGTAATCTCAGCCTAAAATGATTAGTCGGTATGGCTTAATCATTCTATGACAGTCTGTTTTTTTGCGCTTAGCATGTACTAACTTTTTGAAATAGCAAATGGCTGTGGAGATTCACCTCATGCGTGATTTTGTCACGCAACAGGTGGTGATACGTCGGTCGGACGTCTTGCCTGGCCTAATTCTTGGGTCGGCAAGTGCTCGGTACCTGTAAAGCCACAAGGGTGTCACGAGAAGGTCGTGTGTTGAGTTTCTGTCAGATAGGTTGGAATAGCGTACCAAGTTGCATTTTCTTTACAAACTTCCTTACAGGTCTTCACTGGATTCGGACCACTAGGGACGGACGGTACTTTATAATAAGCGCACTTCGTATGCTAGCCGCTGTTTACAGAGAGGATGGCATAAAAGTTGATCTGCTGTGTAGTCGTACAGTAGCTTTGTAGCGCACTATTTTGCACCAGTTCCTGCTTGCCATCCTATTTTTATTTTAAATATCGCCTGGCTATGTGTCTCGTTTCCACGGGGCTGCGAGGAACGTGAAAGGTTTATCTTCATTCGCTTCATTAACGGTACCTCTAAATATTTGCCTTTGGCAACCCCACGTAGGGTGTTTGCGGATCGTCCAATTCTTGCGTTTTTTCATTTGTTTTTTATTGCGAATCTACGCATTTTTGATAACCCTCCTACTGTGAATCTTCACACATTCATCCATTTGCAATAAAAGCGTTTGTCCTTTGTTGTTCAGCTGCGGTATCAAATACTCCAAATCGGGGCTTTTGACCTTTTTGAGTGGCTCGCCCATCGCTGCTACTACCGTAGCTCCCGGCTGTTTTTTGGATATATCAAAAGATGGACGAGCCTGGATGCGACCCTAGTTAATGCACAGAAGGACGTGACATGAGTGGAGCCTCATGCTAACAAGACTAAAGGATCCGCTTCAGTTAAATTTCAAACCAACAAATACTGCCAAAAGGTCGGCTTCATTTTTGTGCTTCACTTAAATTTCAAAGACAACAGTGAGGAGACCCTCCTGTGACTGCTTAATTGGTTATAATAGTAGGCTAGTGTTCTTAGCTTCAATAAAAGCTATGAAAGTAGACGAGAGTGATTTCTCATGTTGCACAGTTCTCTTAATAGGTGGAGACCTAAATGGAGTTTTATTCTATTACATGGCATAGCCATGGGCATTCACCGTTTCTGCGTTGATATGCACGGGGGCTTTGAAATGATGATTTTTCCTAAATAAGGGTGTTTTCTTCAAATTAGATTATTTTCTAGCTTTAATGCAATGCACTAGGCTACGATACATGTGATATGGAGGGTAGTTACTTGGTCATGTCCGGATACCTCCAATTTTTGTACACGTTGGAGTTGATACAGTCACGACTCTATGGAAAAGGGGAAAAAGATATTAATTTGTACCTGCGTATCTGAATAATTTTAGCGGTGAATGTTTGTATTTTTCGAGTTGAATAACCTTTCGAATGTGCATGTCATGCCCAACATTCCCAAAACGACTCCAACCATTGTTTATGCATTCATTCATGTCTTCGGGTCATTGACAGCTGGGTATAGATCCAGACACCCCGGACGTTGATGGCTGTACAGCACTCCACCTGGCCTCTGCCTTTGACATCGAAGGCCATCTTGTAAAGCTGCTTCTGCGCTACGGTGCCGACCGTTACGCCGTCTTCGCACGTAGGCCCAAGCCTCAACTGATCTCCCGCCCCAACTCGCAAGACAGCCTTCGGTCCGCTTCGCGCCCTGTCTCTCGCCGAAGCTCTACCGCCTCATCAAACTTGGGGAGTAGTAACAGCCTCAGCAATATTTTGGAAGGGGACCCCTCACCTTACGACCCCGTCACTCCTCACACACCTGATGTGGAACAGGGCAAGGTGATGATTTTCAAAGATATTTGCACTGTTTTAAAAAACTTAATATTTTACACCTTTTTCTTGCAGGTGGCATACTATCCCCTCCACTTGGCCGCTGCTATGGGTAATAGCGTCGCCCTAGAACTCCTCCTTCAGGGAATGTCCAAAGCAAAGCTTTGCCGGTTAATTCTTGATTCAGCGAAGATGACCAAATATTCCCCGGATGGGGAAGAGGGGAAGAAGAAAGATGCTCCCAACTCATCCAGTTGGTACTTCTATTCGCCCCTCTTTCTGGCCGCCTATCGTGGGCGGGGAGATTGTGTCGAGGTTGGCTGCCTATTCAACCACTTGTGTTTGTGAAATGAGACAGCATAGAGTCCATGTCCTTCCTGAAGACGTAGAACAACGATCCATGAGTAAGGTCAGAGATTTATTTTTAAGTACACTGAAGACCTCTCAGGTTGATAACGGAAATGTAGTCAACGGAGTCGGTGAAAAATTAATGGCTGTGGCATTCCAATTATTACTAAAACTAATGTCCATATCTTGCATGGCTCCCCTCTTCGCTTGAGTGACGTCCTTCATGCCTGCCGTGGTAACTACGCAATCAGTGTCTGTAGATCTACTCACGGGTCATGAACAAAAGTCAGATAAGCTGGAATGGGGTGCCAATTTGCGTTTTCCTTTTAAATTTCACTGTAGAACTTCACTGGGTTCACACTGTTAGGAACGGGTTAGTAGTTTACAACGATTGCATTTTGTATGCTAGCCGCTGTTAGCGGGGAGATTGGCATAAAAGTGGATCTGCTTAGTAAACTGCTTAGTCTGGAGTAGCTTCTCAGGGCAATATAATGCACCAACTCCTGCTTGTCATCCTGTCTTTGTTTCGATTTCACGTAGCTGTGTGCCTAGGTCTCACGGGGTACCTTTATTCACTACATCAACATATCTGCTTATAAGTGCCATAGGCAACCCTGCATAGGGTACTCCTTCAGGCAGCTGGATAAAGACATTTGAATGGTATAAACGTCTCTAAGGCTGCTATATGTTTGCATCCCAATGACAGCAACAGAGCAGCACTTATTTCTCTAAACATTTACCCGATGCGGGAGGTGTTCCACTCACGACACCTGCGAGTCATATAGCCTGTCATGAAATTGAATAAGATAATAAACTGGACACAAAAGTAGGGGGACTGCTATTTTCTTCGTGCAGATGCTTTTGAATGCCTGTGCGGAGCCATTCGCTAAGCCGATGGAGAAGGAGAGAGATGAGGGAAGGGATGATTCAAACGGGCCGAAGGAAGAAGAGGAGGACGAGGATTTCCATCACCATCCACTATTGAGCGAAAAGCGGCCTTGTGGTCGACTTACCGATCCACTGGGTCGGACACTGCTGCACTACGCCGCGCACGCGGGTCATCTAGAGACGTGCCAGGTGTTGGTAATGCACCACCTCAGTCAGGCCGATCCTACAATCAAGGACGGCCTAAATGGGTGGACTGCTGTGCACCACGCTGCCGCACGGGTAAGATGAACCTTCCGTTACTGTACAGGTTCTCTTATTTGGGGCTATTGGTCCGAGATTATTTTTATGAAACTTATTTGCTCGACTTGATTTCGCTTTTTTAATGCACGCGCCATCCTTTCGTTGCGTGATGGAACCATTTCTACAAGAGTGTATTCAAAGTGAATGGTGAAATTTCGAAAAAGAATAAAAAACTCAAGGATTTACGGCGATATCAATTCACCAGCTTTAACAACCACTTTATGCGTTGCATTTATACGATTTTTCACTAAAAGTACATTAGTAAAAGCAGCAAGAGAGCTGAGAACTTATTCTCTCTCTTCCCTTTTTACAAAAGTCAAACTACTTTTAAAGTTGGGATAGATCATAATTTCATGGAGTTGCTTAAGTACAGCGGACCTTCAGCCAACCCCTCCCCTTGATCTTGTTTTTGTAGGGTCACTGTTCAGTGCTTCAGTTTCTTCTTCGTTGGCATGCGTTGAAAATGGACCCTTCACTGGGTAACAGAATTTCCTTACTCACTATTCCATTTCCGGCAATGTCAAACCATCAACTGCATCACCTGTTTCACTTCTGTCCATCATGACAGATTTAATAAACGTTCGAGATGAGAATGGTCGTACACCGTTGATGTTGGCGGCACAATACCAGCGACTCACTGCGATTCACTTCCTCACCACCTTTCAAACGCGCCCTTCGAAAAACGTGGAGGTCAATGGACGCAACGTCGACGCTCACATTATTCACCGTGTCAACCTCAGCGACAAATTGGGTCGAACAGCCCTTCATCGCACCGCTGTCAATGGGCAAACTGAGGGTATGAAAATTCTCCTTGAAGTGAGTGTAAAGCTTTAATTGAGCTCGTCTTGATGTCCAATATGCACCAGTTTTTCGAGATTGCGAATGTTCATGAGTGATTGTGCTGTGTCCAGCGCTGCCACAGAAAGAAGATTGTCTGTTGTGTGACCTAGTCACATGACAGGTGTTGATGTGCCAATCAAGGATCGAGGGTGAGACGGAGGTTAGATGCGCTGGGAGAATGTTTGTGGTGCTAGATGGATGCTGTGCTGCTGCCTGTGGACCAGGACTGTGGGCTGGGGTTGTGGACCGTGAGCATTGGGTCTGGCGACTGAGCGGCAACTTTTTGCATCAGTATTCGGTAGTTTGGTTTGATGTGGTGTGGTGTAGTGTAGTGTGATGGCGTGTTGTGTCTGAAGCCTGTTGTAGATAGGAGTCGATAACGTTGCTTAGGTTGAAACTGTTTGCCTTGATAGGTAAGAGATTGATTTCCTTATCACAGGCTGTTGTGTTCAGGTGCTCTGATGTTCTCTCTCACTATGACCACGTTCTACCATTTGGCTTAGCAGCTTCAAAAGTGATCTGAGACCTGTACACCGGCACACCTGCACCTCACTGCCGTGTGCGTCTGAGATGGTGCGATTCGCAGCCCCGATTCACCATATACGTTTTGTAATGTCGTTTCGGTGATTTCCAATAAGATAGACGCTTGAGTGCTTTTGGGCGCATTCTCCACTTTATTCCCAGGCTGGAGCCTCGTTGACGGCTGCTGACGTCTATGGCAGGCAGGCGCTGCATCTAGCGGCGTGCAGCGGACAGCTACACACCCTGTCGTACATCTGTGATGCCTTGCAAGCGAAGTCAACTACCTCTTCTGCCGCCAAGGCCGAAGCTGAAGTCATTGCTCCCTTGGACGCTCGGGGTTTCACACCTCTTCATCTCGCCGTCTACCGCAACCGCGTCCATTGTGTCAGAAATCTTCTTCGATTCAAGGCTTACCAAAGCCTTTTTGTGAGTTTTGTTCACCCCTTTCTTTTCTCATCCTTTTCACAAACTATATCACCACCCGTTTCCTACTTCTTCGAAGGCCTAGATTAATACACAGAACTTTAAATTTGAGAGACGTCTAGATTACCAGGGGATATTTGGCCTTTTAAAAGAAAATATTGAATTTTGGAAGTAAAAATTGGAGCTAATTTTTAGCGCAGTTCTGCTGCATTTAACCATTTCTTTTAGCGCTCAACCTTAACCATCCTAGGATATTGATCCGAGCTGGCGAACGTTCCATCTTCCGTTCCAATGGAACGAATTATCTCTCGCACTTTCGTCACTTAGCAGATGTACCGCGTGCTGGTTGAATGTTTGCAGATCTGAGTGTTTGTCTAGGCTGTGGGCTGGGCATGAATCACCGAGCTTGGGGTTGTTGCTAATAGACTGTCCTCGTCGACCGTATTTGAAATTTTCATACCACTTTTTATCTCTCTTTCTCCTCGTCAGGGCAACACCTATACGCCGCTCCACTGTGCTGCTGCATGGGGCGATGCCACGTGTCTCGTGGACCTCTTAAAAGTCTACCCTCCGTCGGATCTCAAAACGCAAGATGTGCGCGATTCCACTCCCCTCCACATCGCGGCCATGGCTAATAAAGTGGGAAAACCGTCGCTTTTAGCTATCGCATATCCTTGTTCATACTTTAACTCTTGCTTTCTTTCCTCTCCAGACAAATCCCATCAGGACCATTCTCGACTTCATCATGGATGCGGCACTGCGAAATAACAATGAGATTAATTTCTCACTGAAGGACGCCCTCAACGCTCACGATGTCCGAGGCTGTACGCCGCTCATGGCGGCAGCTCGGGCCGGCGCGGCGAGAGCCTTCTCCTACCTCATCGAAGTCCACCTCAACGTGGACGATGATTTCAAGACGACGCTATTCGATACAGACCACGAAGGCTACAACATCCTGCATCAAGCTCTCTGTGCACCCACTGAAAAGACTGCGCTGAGTATCATTTATCGGTGAGCTGGGCAACTGGTCTTTTTTACCCCGACAATTTTCTTGATTTTCGCTCCATCAAAAGTGGTGCTGAGTTGATCTAAAACCATGATGGTGACGTCTGTTTACAGGATTGTTTGGCCAATGAATCGTCAATATCAAACGGTTGAAGGGCTCAAGATATTGCACAACTAAGTGTGTAGGTTAAAAATGTCCCCTGTGTGTTTTAGACCCCCATGCCAAGCACTGCTCGACCAGGCAACTCCTGATGGCCTCACTCCACTTCATCTGGCCACCAGGGCGGACTTCAAAAATGTCGTTACTGAACTGATTAAACGAGGTGCCAATGCCTTTCGTACTGACTCCTCGGGCAAGCTGCCTATCCATGCCGTCGCCAAAACTGATCAGGTAACGCTCATTCAGCCTTGTTGATTGCAGTCATCGACATCTTGGGAAGCTCATGCATGACTTTAATCCGCGAAAGGACTTTCAATGCTTTTCAGCCGAGTTGAGCATTACCTTCTGTACATAGCAACTTGCACAAATCAAATAATCTCTGGTTGTGACTTGACTAAAATTTAGTTGGTTAGCGTTGGCATGCCTAAGCAGATTTTGGAGGGCAATTGAGAGAGGCCAAAATGAAACCGTGCTGACTCGCGCGTTGAGAATCGGGACCTCCACAAAAACTGATATGGAGGATGTCAAGAATGGGTGATATTAGTTCATCGCACAGCTGTCCAGTGGTGCTTGAGATAGTTTTAAATAGCGACTGAGTTGAGAGACTTTAAGAAGACATCCGTTTTGAAAACATTCATTTTATAAGTGCTTGCCTTTAGCAAGACGATTGAACTGTGCAAAATTCACAGGTGTTTTAAGGTCAAATGCTGAAACTGTTCATAAATCTACTCAAAAACCAAGCCAAACCTAATACGAGGGATGTTGAAGTCAGGCTTTGAAAGGAAGGCATGGTAGATATACCTAATTACTGATAGCTGGTGAATGTGTCGAAGACTATTCCAGACACTTAACCAAGATGAAGTTTTTCGTGAACAAATGTGTTCGGATGTCAACGCGCACAGATTTGGTAAGATGATGGGATGCTTGACTAAACACTGCAGACTTTTTGAAAGCAGTCTATCAGTGCCAATCCCGGTCATAGTGGTTTGTGCTCAGTCCACAGCCTCCTCGGCAGTCATTCAGCTCTGTAAATGTTTGGCCATCACATAGGACATGTCTTATTCTGGACATCTAACTGAGGCACAGCTAAGGTAATGGGTGCTATAAGAGAGGAAAGTTGTTTTTGCGGGAATAGTAAATTGCTCATAAGCATCTGCATTTTCAAAAAGGCGGCTCATGCTGCGTACTCTGGGACGGCTCATCCGAACTGACAAATCCTTCTGTGCTGAGGCTTAGTGGGTATTGTTTCAACGCAGTAAGAAGCCCCAGTTGACTCAGACAGCCCTCGTAGCTAGCTCATGTGCTTTTATGTTACTCAGTAAATGTGCTTGAGGGTAAGTATTCCAAATTACTTGCCTGAATCCATGCAGAGGATGTGATCCTTTCTTTTGTTTCGTTTGCAATAGTCCCTCAAGTGTCTGAGGGCCCTTCTATTTGAGATGATGCCTCAACTGAAGGAAATCGAGACAGATCCCGTGTTTTCAGTACCGAGAACCTTTCCTGACAATCCTATGGCAGACTCCATTCGCAGCTCTGATCCGGAATTCTACTAGCCACATTTATCCCAGGCTCCTTCATGTATTACTTATCCTTTCTACCCGCTGTCATGATGGCTTTATTATAAATTAGAATACAGACTTTTTGATATTTTATTTTATTTTCTGATACAGTTCTTATTAATTCCTGTCGTTTAGTAGTCGACTGCTAGCGAACATATCTTCAGTCCATGCGTTAGGCTTTTCCAAGGATGAGAGAAGTAGGATTGTTCAATCGCAGGGTACACTTCTTTGGCTAATGCCAAAAGGCGTCAATGTTGGGATTGAATAGCGGTTTTCCCAGGTCAACCACCATCATCACCACAGGTTAACTCGAGAGATCTGGAGAGTGGACAACTTCAGAGGGGTGGATGCGGTAGGTTTTAGCTACTGAAAAAAGAGGTACAAGTTGTTTTTTGCGGTGTAACTGCCCGTGTACTGAAGCACATTTCAACTCCAAGCGTTTAACGAAAGACGGTCAGCTGATAGGTACATGATAGTGAAGGGAAGGAAAGAGGTCCTCGTTTGTTATGCTACAGAAATAGTTGATTTTGCCTTACCCGGACTTGAGTGACTTTCTGGTCAGTTTCGTATTTGTGTCACACTTTCATCATCCCTCAAAAAGCCAATTGTTCGCGGTTTGGCATCATGTTTGCCATCCTTAGTTGTGGCCATTTCTTTTGGGGAGAAAAAGGTGGGATGTGCCAGCTCTGTGTCAACTCCTACCCAAAGTCTATTACCTCGAAGGAAGTGATTAAATGGCCAGTGCCTCCGGTCCTTGGAAATTATTGGAACCAAGCCTATTTACTGGTGTTTTTTTGGAAAATTTGCATAATTAATGCAACACGCTCCCAGCTTTTCACGAACACGTGATTGAAGCTCGAGAAACGTACGAATAAAAAGGGGAATGCAGGTTTAACGAATGGCGTTTACACGAATGGAACAGCGTGAGCAGTTATTTACAATAAGGATCACAAATTATAACCCATGCTCTTTTCTCAGCAGTACACAAGTCTGAAAATCCCACCTTCTTCCGATACTCTGTCTTTAAAAGTTGAGAAAGAACCATTATCGCAATTCTACTACCTATCTACTGCTTATTATTTCATATGTACTCTTATAATCGTTCAATGCAGGGGAAAGGTGATAAGTATCACTAAAAGTTGGGATAATATCTCCCCTAATACTTTTTAACTGGACAGTTAAAGGGGTCAATCTTCCTAACAAAAATTACAATAAATAACAATTTGCTAGCAAATTACAATCCAGACTTGAGAGAGATAGAAGGGGAATGACTGGTGAGGTGAGACCCCACTTGCTGCTGTTAGCCCAGTGAATTTTGTCCATCGACCCCAAATAAACACCACGATTTATGAAAGAAGGGCGTGCGCATTCAAGCGAGCACGTCTTGAGGCGGCTGGAAGCCATCACACCCATATTAAAACCCTCCCATGAATATTATAGCGCACATATGCATACAAACAGACGCGTTTTAAAGTTGCATAATTAATACCGGCAGCATTTGGGCGTGCAGACCCAGTGGCCAGGTCATCCCGCTTCCTAAGGCACGTGCTGAAACTTGGTGAATTTCGGAATCACGAGTACAAGAGAATAAACCGATGAAGAAAGTAACCTACACAATTAACACTCACCATCAAAAAGGCTTTGCGGTTGGTCATGTAGACCAAATAAACGTCCACTCTCACTTACACGTGAGCATAGCATTTTGCAAAAAGGTAAGCTTGACTTATTTGACTTCTATCGTCCCAGTACAAACCAGTTTCTGGCGGTTTACTTTAATATCTACAGCGATATTTATTGCATTAAGATCAACTAAAAAAGGACACAATTAGCAACCATAAACCATTCGCACCCGCACAGCTCAGCAGGATTCTGTTTTTTAGGAGGACGTGCAGTTAATATATGTCATTAATGGAAAATAAAAGAAATTAGAGATAAGTAAAACGCTCAAAAATCTAAGCGTGCTCAAATTCCTTAAAAAAACAGGTATATTACATGTGAGTCAGGACACAAACGAAAACTAGACAGGAATGCCCTTGTGCAAAATCACTTTTTATTTAGAACAAATACGTTTTCGTCTTTGTAAATGGAGTTCAAATTTGTATGCTAATGGCTAAAACAAAAGATATTCAAAAGTTGTGGTTATATAAATCCTCTTTATTTAACAATCATACAATTGTGTAGTCGACAATATAATCGAAGTGTTCGTTGAAACCTTATGAGATTACTGTTACTTTGTTCTATATAAGGAGTAACTGTGGGAAACTGAGTGGTCAAATCTTTCCTTCGGTATCGGTCATCAGCTCAGCAACGGCCTTTTCCAGGGTTTCAACTCTTGACTCTGCCTCAACCAGTAGAGTGCACAAGCAAGTTAAGGCACAGTACATGCAGCAAGAAAAGTCAAAGAGTAATAGCATTACATAATACGTGGATTCAAGAAGCATAATATGTTTCACTTTTTAGGAAATTTGTCAATTCACGTAAAAAATAGATGACTAAATCTATCATCAAAGGAATTTCTAACTTCTATTATTTCAATAATGCAAGTCCGTTTCAAAGAAGCTGTTTTCAACGAATAAAGTGATTGAGTCCTTCCAAAGTCACACAAGTCCACGTATTAACCAATCGCCAAACTCTTAAATCGATCAGATTGTTATTAAGAAAACACGTTGGAATCCAGTTAGAACTCCAACTGTTATACCGTAGAAAACTTAAGCCGTGTCAACGAAAGACTAGTACAGTTTTAAAATGTAAAGCGTTATTTTCACAAAGTAGAAGCAAAATAACTACTATTCTATGTACACAAACCATTTCAATGCTGCAATCGCAAATGAAGCATAAGCGATCTCGTGATTCAAGAAGAAATCGGGTTTTCTAAAGACATACGAGCACACTACTTACAAACGAACCATTAAACGTAAGAAGCATATTTTAGGTGTATTTTAAATCTCGAACGTAGCAGGGAGGCTTTAAGCAGTAGCGACACAGCAAAATTTGTGTTCGATTTGTCCGTTATTCCGGCATAAAAACACTGAACTTAAAAACAAACCTATTTAAGAACTAAAATTTACTTTTAGTGAATAGAATGCGCGGCTTTTGCCGATTTGACTAGAAGTGCGAAAAGGATATGTCTTGACATCGTCATTTCACACTGCGCTGCAATTCTCCTGTGAATTTCAGTAAACGCATTTTCAATCTCTAATAGAAATGGTATTTATTGGCTTACCGACGACTTTAGTTCCGGAATGTTGGTTGGATTACCAGCAATGCGAAGACCATTCGATGACATTTTGAAGACACGCAAGCAGCTGTCCTCATAGACACTGATATACGCAAAGGTTGTATTAGTGACACAACTGCTGGTAAATTGTAGGAAGATTTTTTATGGTCCCAAGTATCGGTTTCATGTAATCTGGTTCTATTTTTTTCGCTAAACTTAGGGATAATAATAGGTTTATGGACATTTACGAAGCCATATACTAATTAAATAGAATAAAATGGATGAGTTGTGACAATTGCGGCCCCATCTGCTTTCGTGACAAGCCACATTCGAATCTAAAGACACATTATTGAGGCAAAAACAGGGTAAGTTGCTTATTTTGCAGGACAGATGTGCAAATCTTAAATTCCGAAGAAACTGCACAATTGACTGTATTACTGAAGTAAATATGCAGTCATCGCAGATTTACTCCAACCAAAAAATTGTTGGCTGGTGTGTGGTTAGAAAAATGATTGTTGGATTTGTTTTATTGCCTTACGCAAAACTCTACAAGACATTCAGTCTGCTTGTGAAGTTGCAGCCGCATCCCAAACGTAAAGGTGTAGCTGTTTACTCAAATATTTTTGCCTGGGCGGTTGATTAAAAGAACATTAGTTTGCTCTTGATTTAGCCAGCAAATGCACAACCAGCATTTTGCGTAAATGACAAAGAGATTTTGATATTAAAATGATACCATGAAGGCCCACTTCAGGCCTCTAATTGGCTTTACTGACCATTTTCATTGCATTTGATTTGGCATACTTATTTACCCTGACTGACAATGCATACACTATATTGTTTAAACTATCTACGCGGCGTCCGCACTTATAGGAAAGTGCGTGGTAGCTGATTCCTGCTATTTAGTTGTGGTATTTATTAACATTTGCTGATTCAATGGCATACAAACTTGGAGCAAGTATTGCAATTAGCTCCTTTAGAAAAGGTTGCCTACTAAGACCCACCAGCAACTTTTTCAATGCCATGGTTTATCCCAGGAGGCAATCATGTATTATTCGCCTCTACTGTTCTTGCAAGGCCTGTTTTTGTTTTATAAAAAGCATTATTTGTTTTTGTGCGCATTTTTTAAATTTTCAACGCAAAAATTTAACTTTTTGATCTTTATTGCTTCAGTGTATAGGCTTATTAGTGGCGACGTCACCTTTAATCCAAACATTAATGTGAAGACATTTAATACAATTTGTAAAGAGCCTAAGGGAGCTCAAATATTTGATGTACGTGAACCAGGTGAATTGGAGACAGATGGCCGATTTCCTGAAGCTGTAAACATTCCTCGTAAGATGCTTCTGTATTTGCTGCAATTTTATGCTAGAGGTTGTTTTTCTAATATTCTGTAGTATCTGAATAAAAATATTAAAATGCGGTTCTTGATTTGATTTTTTTAACTGGATTAAGTCAGTGCTATCTATTTAACGCGCCCAGAGTTTTATGTTCCAGTTTTTACATAAATATGCATTCATATTTTTAAAATGCACACTGCTAGCTAGTCAAATGCCAAGATTATACCTTTTAAAATTATTTTTTTATAGTTGGCGAAGTGGAATCAGCCTTTGCTCTTGAAGAGGCTGAGTTCAAAGCAAAGTACGGCGTACCGAAGCCGAAAGTCACTGATGACAACATCATTTTTGTCTGCAGGGTTGGAAAGCGAAGTTTCACAGCCTGCAAATGTGTTGAAAAATATGGATATAAAAAGTGCGAATTTTTCATTTTAGCATTTAACGCTGCAATAAGCCTATAAGGTTTCGAGTATTTTCAATATTATTTATTTCTAAAGGGATTTACCTCGCACGCACTTTATACATAACCGCTAAATCGTAAAATAACACTTCGTCTTTTCACCTTTTTACTGTTCTCAACTTAAAAAAGAGCTTAATTATGTACCTAGTCTGGAAATTAGGCACTGAATATACTAATGAGTCAGAAGGTTGGATTTATGGAATTCTGGTAGCAAATGTAAAATCCTTTGAGACTTCAAAGCATTACCTTATGATGAAGTGTTTCTCTAATCGGACTTGATCATTCTTACTAAGCACAATTTGATTTGTTTGTTGTTACAGTGATTATCTTTAACCCGTGTTTCATAAAGCTAATGTATCTCACGAACTTGTTGCCCTCATGATGGTATTATTAAGAAGTCTGTGTTGATTTACAGATAGCACTTATGTTAGTACCGACAATATGCATTGCCAATACTCCATAAGTATGCTTTAAAGTGATTTGGTTAGGCTGAGATGCAGTCGTTGCCAATACACTACTTGCCATATTGAACTCGTATGGCATTCCAAATGGCAGTAAATTGCTTCTCCCATCAGCCTTATTTCATCATATTGCCCCCTGTACCAATTCAGCGATTATGTTTGGAGAAATTTTCGCCTGATTATTAGTAAAAAAACAAGAACTGGGATGTGTAAAACCATGTAAGAGCTTACAGATCTTGTCTGCATGTGGTTTAGCTGGTTTTTCAAGACTGATTAAAAATAGTATTTCCTTTACCTGGCTTGCTTTAACTTGGACTAATTCACTTTGTCTCTATGCCGGAATCGTTTCTAACTAAACGCTACTTAACTTTATTGAAAATTTGAAATGTTTCCGTGGGGTAAGTTTATGAATATTTTAAGTGACTAAAAACTTATTTTGATGCTAAATTCTCTACTTTCCCATTCAGAACCCTTAATTTGGATGGCGGATACGTAGCATGGAAGGAACAAAGTGAAGAATAACGTCTATGCTACCTCTCACAATGGTAATTTCAGCACCCAATTGACTGGTCTTAAAAGCAGTAACCGCAACAATTTTTTGCTTCCCCTTACATTCCACTAGTCTACAGCTCTAAATCATGAGATGCTTCATTTCAGAAAGTCTACGCTTGATTTGTGGTGCTGTAAACTTCTTAATGCAAAATTTTTTTCAAAATTGCCTGCAAGAAGACTTGCACTTACGCTCGAGACAAAAAAGCTATTCTTCTGTATTTTTTTTCCGGCCCTCATCATCTCTATTTGACCGGTGGCATTTCCTTACGGGACTACCATCTTTTCCTAAAAGACCACAACGGAACTCCATTTAAAGCAAAGCGGAGAGTTTGAAAATGAAGGCGAAATCGAAGTGCAGAAAGCGTAGCACTCCAAGACTCCCCTGAAGGCAAAAAGTGGGCTAATTTTTGGATTTAGCATAGCATTTTGGGGATAAGGTTTCTCATCCATTTCTTCCTTCCCTGCCATGTCCACTCAATTTTAATTCAGCTAGCAGAATGGAGGAGGTATTGCTTGTTCACTTAATTGACAGCTTCCTACAGGTGCTGTAGATAGCTCCACAACGAACTTTTTAGGAAAGTTTACAGACAGTGTCACTTCAATTGTTGATAGCATTCTCACAGAACACGGAACTGGGATATTTGCCCAAGGCAGACGTCATTTGCACCCCTGATGCTAGGAGCTGCCATTAATTCTTCCATCTGCAGCGTATGCGATTCCTCTGCCCCAGGTGGGTCTATCATCCAGTAGTAGAAATTAGGTAGGTGTCCTATTTTGTAGGGTTCGCCCATCAGACTTACCAACGTAGTACCCCAGGACTTCTCTGAGGAGGATTAAAAGACATCACGTCCGGGCAGAATGTGTATTGATGGAGTACAGAAGAGCTAAAGGGCTACTATCATAGCCTGGAGGCCAGGTTACTTGGCGGGGGTGCAATGGAGGAGCCTCTAAGTAGCCCATTAATAAAACCAGGACTCAAACAACAGTTTAAACATTGCACTGAATTCCATTACAGATGGTTGGCAAATCAAAAAGATCGCAGGTAGAGCAACAAATGCTGATCAGGATTCAGTTGTCAAAACAATTCTTTCGTTGGTGCACACGTTTAATATTTTAGTTTGGCAAAATAGATCAAAATGAGACATGAATGGTGTCGTGTGCTAAAAGAGTGTGAATAAGATCTAAGAAAAGCCGGCATGGAAGCCAAGAGCCCAGCAACTTGAGAAGTATTGGCAGAGTCGAATCGTGGGAGCTGCATACACATTTTAAAAAAATGGGTCTTCTGTTGTAGGGCCTTCATTTTCTCCTAAAAGTTGTCCTCGGCACTAAAATGAAGCTAAATGCAGGGGATGAACAGAGAGCCTCGATGACTAGACTTCACTCTGTAAAAATGCTTTAAATTAAAATTGGGCAGTCAATTTGATGCGGCTCTTTTGCTTACCACAATTACGGGTCAGTAATAGTTTGGTTTTTAGTTTAACTTTCCGTTTCGTCAACGGGCCACTTAGGTAGTCCACCTATGTTGGATGGTCTCCAGGCCATGCGAGTGGTCTCAAGCCCTGCTGTATGTCAAAACTGTATATTTTATCCAAGTACCACGTGTTTATTTGTCTTTAGGGAAGTCTCCAGGTGTTGAAGCTAAGAAGAAATTACCTAAAAAAACAAATTATCCAGGAAGTGGTAGTAACTGTTTAAGGGCGAAACCATATTTAAATAGGCGCCTAATGAGAGGATATTTTTTTCAAAATGGTAAAAAATCCTAAGAGGTTATTTTAAATTAAGAAAAATGGGCAAGAAAACAAAAATGAGCAAGACAAATGATTATGGAGCAAACTTTCCAAAATACACCTCCAGATGATTTGCCTACTTTGGGAGGATCAGGATAGATTGTTAAAGTAGTTCATTCAAAGCAGTTTACAGCGAAACCTCTTCAAGCAAAATGAGAGCAGGCAAAATGCGTCAAGCCGGCAACACGTGTCCCACCAAACCATAAAGCAGTTGAGAATGCAGGCGCAGTTTCTGGAGTGCGTTATACTGAAAGCATTTGCAGTTGGCATTGCCTCATACTCAATGTGTGAGTTGTCACAGTTTCATTGCCAGATAAATCACCTCGGTATTCCTTTGAAATGTGATGAAAAGACTGGAGCATTGTGTGCAGGTAAAGTAGCCTAATAGAACAGTGGCTACTTTTCATATGGAATCCCACCCCACGGTCTCTATGCGGCTGAGTTGATGCGTGGCAAATCTTAGGACATACTTCATTAATTAGTTTTCAAACTAAAAGAAATGGTACACTTTTTGGAAGAATGCAACAGAATAATATCAAGAATGTCAATCTTATCATAAAAACTTTCTTTTCTGTATAGCTTAATATAGCAGTAAATTCCTTCATATCTGGACGGAGAGATCAAGCTTTAGTTGAATTCACCTTGTTTATACTTCCTCAAACTTACAAGGTACGCATTTCTAACAAAAAGGTACAATGGTATGCAAAGCTTTTATATGCAGGGTCACAGCAAATTTCGAAGGCTGTGTTTACACCTCTAAGTGTCTCCCAAACAAGTTACGTGAAGAAACTTTGTTGTGCTAGGTGCTCAAAGTTAAGTAAAGAAATATCCAGGAAGATATTTTGAACTTTGAGGAGAAAACGGATAGTGTGAGCATTTTAATTTAAATAAGTAGCTTATTTGCATTAGTGACAACCAGTTACTTAGGTGTAGTAAGTAGATGATCAGTGCGTCAAAAAAGCGTTTTAACGTATTCCAAAAAACATGGCTAAATATATTCATTTTGTAACCTTGCATAGCAACAACTCCTTATAGCTTTTAAACCTAATTTAAAGAACTTCTACTCACTGGAAAACTTAAGATCCTTCAAACTAATGAGAGGAGAGAGGATAGGTAAATCGGCGTCGCATTGGCTGGGTAACGTAGTGGTTTATATATTTCAGTAAAAAATGTAACCAAAAAGCTCTAGCACTAGTAAAGAGCCTAATCTACAAACCTTAATTCTCCTTGAAACAACAGCCGATTATGAGCTAGAGATTTTACCAGTTCGCCAACAATGAGAGAATGGAATATGCACCTTATCAAAGGTTAAAAGAAAGAGCAATCGCAAGTGATTCCTGAAGCAGCGAACCCAATAAAAAACCCCATTTGTCTTCGCTTGCTCCTAAAGCAGGGTTTCAAATTATTCTACTGATGTCTCAAGGTCCACATAATTAAACCAAAGCATTCCACCCAATAAAGAGGACCAATGCATTAGGTGATGTAACACCGATACCTCAAAGAATTGCCATTTATCAATTTGATACTAAACTACTTGCTCACAACCACATCATCCTCTGTCAAACTTTTACTGAAGCTTCTACTTGTAACTGCAAGATTCTTCGCCCTCTTATCGGCTTGGGAGAACGGAGTTCAATTATGCACGAAGTATCCAACATTCACCTGTATATTTATCTAAATTTACAACAGAATTTACTGTGAAGAATGTATTGTGATGCATGATATTGTTGCAGCATTTATTTTGATGCTTGACAGACCATCAGATTACGCCAATCTGGTGGTGAAGCAGACGTCAGCGCCACAATAACATCACCAACAACCAGCGATGCCTTGCAAAACTGATTAAATTAGATTTTTTAGGACCACTTTAAATATGTTTCTATCAGTCTTCTGAATCCATTAACGTAAAATCGGAGGCGGGAGAAAAAACAGGGGAATATTACAACAACAGGCAATTTTTATTTGTTTTATTAATGTACATCACGTTTCAACCTGTCGAGTGAAAGTGATAGACCGTCACCTACAGAAGGGTGCTAATTTTTTTCCGTAGAAAACAAAAAAGTTCCTAATTAATTTTTCTAGCCTCTTAAAGAAATTAGAATTTGTCTGAATAACAAATTTTGGGAGTCGAAGGAACTAAAACGTAAAAATGAAGAAAAAATGTGCAACGAAAAATAGGTGAGCAAATATGTATAATGCAGCGCTCCGAGGCTTTTCAGAGGAAAAATGAAGGAGTAATACTTGGGCGGAATGTGTATTGACAACATGTAGCAGGACTTTGAGGCTACTGGCATGGTCCGCAGGCCAGGCCGACTGATAAGGCTATAATGGCGGAACCCCTGAGTGGCTCACTGCCAAAACTGAGAGTTAAACAAATGATTAAGGTACTACGTAAATTATACACACCCATAAGTGTAAATGACTAAAGAAAATGAAACAGTCAATCTCTACACTTAAAAGGCAAATGATTATAGTGATGGAATTTTCAAGGAACCGAAATCTAGTGGTGAAGGCCATCCCTTTTAATGCAAGACCCTACGTAAGTTTGGAAAAGATGCATGCTCATCTTCTTACTACATAGAGCGGGGAAGTATACGCAAAAACTCGACCTAAAACGTGGAAGATTATTTAATTACCGACGATTGCATAACATTTATGGCGCGTAGATTAGACACCCACTCTCGAGGCACAAACACACATTAACATGAAGGATAGTGGGCGTTAAGAGGCGTATTCCGCCAATCTTTCTCTTTACACTTGAAAATTCCCGTACTTCTCCGTAATTCCTCTCTTTTTTTTGTCAAACCTACAATTCAAGACTGAATGGAAGTAAATAAGTCTAAAATTTGGCCAGAATTTACAAACAATTCTTTATACCAACTTAGAGCTCTTCGATTCGTCTCAGAAGGTGTTGTAAGTGCACCTGTATCGAAGGCGATTTGTTGTTGCCTGACAGAAGAGCCGAGGGCTCTGACCATGGGTGGAACGCTGAGTTGCCAATGGAGAAACCTACACCACGAAAGTGACGAGCCGACATAATTCAACACATACTTAAAAATTAAAAATCGTGATCAGGTGTTAACTTTTAAAAGTATACAAACAAATCATATCAGTTACAGTTTGAGTAGTTGAGAGACTAGGAGAGACGGGTGTTCTGAATCAGTTTGATATCAAGTGCTAAAGTCTCTTTTTTCTTACAGCATAAGTCCCCTTTCATGAGCGTTATCTCCTCTTGCTCCTCTGCTTTGATTTGCGGTCAATCCTGCATAGAAAATATGCTTTTGCTCTCATTTTAAAACATCTCTGGTTATTTTAGGTTATTAGCTAAAAAAACTGGATGCAACTTTGCCAAACAGAATTTTTATTTCGCTGCTACATGTACACTCAAAAAAGACTGACAACATGTGAGTTAAAAAATATAATAAAAATCCATTTCTCTTTGACATTATGAAAGTCATGGATAAGTGAAGTATTGACTAGAGTAAATGAACCCAGCAATGTCATATTCACTGATACCAGTCGCATATTGGACGTCATTAATTGCTTTGTACTAAACCAGGTATACTATCCTTCATTATTCAGCCTGAGTAAACATTTTTGGCAGCGTGTACAATGAGATTGTATAGTGAAGCGCCGAGAAATCCGTAAAATACTCAAAGGTGGGAGTATGAGGCACAGAAGTTAGAGGTATTTGACCCCAGCCTGTATGAATCGATGCCACGCCTTGCTTCTCCAAGATGCTGTAGTCTATCACACTTGATGATGCAGGCCTTATGGAGACAAAAAGTAAATAAACGCTTGCTTTTATCCGAGTATTTTGTTAACCATCAGGATACCTTCAGACGTCTTGGATTAAATGCTTGAAGAGGGAAAAGAGGTTATATCAAGCAAGCACAAAAGCAAAGAGAAATAGCAAAACGTGTTTAAAGTGATTTAGGAAAAAAATGACGTTCTAAAAACAATAATACAGAACTCGTTTTATCCAAATATGAAAAATGAACAGTATTCACCATTCCACTTAATGCAATTTTTTTCCAATATCAGTTTCTTACAATGTAGGAACTAACAAAATTTCGTACTTTAAACAGGCTGCAAAGCTAAACAGGCTGTTCTGAGGCAAATGTTTAGTTATATTGACTCTTGAGTTTTCAGTGGTCACCTTTGCGGACAGTCTATTATCCTTTCCCTTCCATTTAGGCGTAAAACCTCATTCCGTCTCGAGAATACTCAAATGTCATTGTTAAATTATGGTTGTTTTTCTAAATGCAGGGCTGCAGAAGACTCCCATTTTTTAATTCAATGTGCAATTTAACACTTCTTATACCAAAAAAGATCCTTAGATGAATAAATTTAACTTTGATGAGACGCCTATCTGAAAACAGCCAAGGTAAGATTGAAGACCTTGTGTTTGTGTAGCAATCCAGGACCTCATTGAAGACGAAAGAAGACGTTTATTGCTCGGAAAGAACACATCTTCCACTATAAGTAGGGCTTGAGGGCTACAAATATGGCTTGAAGGTCAGGCTGCCTGGCGGAAGTACAATGACGGAGACCTAAACCGCCCCGTTATAGAACCGAGAGTTAAACAAACAAGCGAGGTATGACATGTTCTCTCTCCTCTTTTGAGCATCTTTCTCCACACTCTCCTTGGTCAGACTCCTACGTCGGCCATCACAACATAATCAGTGCTGTCTGAAAAGGACCCACGAGCCAATTGTGCTAATCACTGAATTTCCGCACAACCGCGAAGATAAAGGAACGCAATGACACCGATAAATTCTGGCAATTCCTCTCAGTTTGGAGCTTTGTCCTCTCATAAAAACTGTACTGGGAGACGAGAAAATGTGCAGGCCATTACGTTATTCCATGGCTAGTCCGCGTAACACTGGCCTATAGTTAGAATCAGATAACAAAACTGGAATCTAAGGTGGTGCCGAAAGGATAAAGTTTCGCGTCCATACCTCCTTGCTACTTTTCTAGCTACTAGTGAAGTGGAGGAGGCATTGCGATATTGCAAGACTGATACCTTCATGCAGAATTAGCAAACAGCTCCGCATCGAAATTTTCCAAATAACTAAAGACTAATAACACTTTTATTGTTGGTAGCTTTACAGGAGAACAGAGGACCAAGGTGGATGCCAAAGAAAAATATAATTTCCAACCGCCTCGTTTAAGAGGTTGTCACGGTTTCTCCCATCTGCAACATGGGTACTTCTTCTGCCATGCCAAGTTTTATTGCCCGGCGATAGAATTTAGGGTAGGGCCCCGAGATTTCCCCAAAGATGAATTCCATATGAATTTGCAATTGCCCCTTCTTAGCTGACATAGGCCTTAGCTCATGGTCTTGTTACGCATGTCAAACACTGCAGTAACGATGATGGCGGTTTACCACCAGAATCCCATTTTATAGTATCGCAATTTATCCGAGCTCTGTACTGCTATTATGTAGCATCCTAGGACTTTCTCGAGTAAGAAAGAAGGCATAATGCTAGGACAGAATGTATACATATTACATACAGTAGAGCTTGGAGGCTACTGGCATGGTCTAGAGGGCAGGTCATCCGGAGAAGGTGCAATGGTGGAAACCCCAAATGGTTGATTACCATGACCGAGGGCTTAACAACCAATCAACCTACTGTAATGTAGCACAATTTTCTATGAGGCACTTCCAAACTCGTCTGCTGTCATCGTAGTGATATATGAAGCAACATTGACAGACATTAAGCTGTAGAGATTGTCGAGAAAACGCTTTAACTGCTCTACTGATTTACACTAAAAGTGAAAAATTAGTTTAATAATGCAGTAATAAAAACCAGTGCTTCCTTTGTTATGCTGCAAGCCATACGAGATCACTCACTCAATGCAGTCGAAATAACCAGTTTGAATTTCTTCGCATAAATTATTATGGGATAGTAAAAATGTGGAAGTATGAGCAGTTCCATAAAAAGCATCCGAGGTTGTACTTTTCTGCAATATTTCATTTGCGTAAGTGGAAGTTTGTGAAACGTGACGCTTCATTTGTGTGTCAATCCTTAGATGGGGTAAATCTAATTACTGATTTCATCCTACTCTCAAACTCCATATTATTATGTGATGGTGAAACTTATCTGCTTTTCAAGATGGGTTCTTCATTATTCAAAGTCGTAGTCGCAGAAGCTTCAGAAATTACTTTTAAAGGAGACACGATGTGTAACTAGACCTAATTTTACAGCTTACCTAAACTTGGAGAGACGGAGGTAGCCACGGACTTATTCTTTTCTTCAACATTCCCCTGATGATGTTGCCCTTTATTCGCTACCAGACTACCTTGTTATTTCACACTGAATAGAGTAGGCACTTGGGTAAAAAAGGCCGCTTAGAATTGGAGGTGGTTATGATAAAGTTGTCTACATCTAAAGACAAACCACAAAATCAAAGTGAAATTCTACAATCTCTCTTTAATAAATGAGAATGGATTGCACTGCTGAGTATTCTAACAAGTGTAAAGCCTTTGCGAAACCTTCAGCGTATGTTTATTTTGAATTATAAAAGTAGCAAAAGCTTAGTGCTTTGAAATTTACTTGTCAAGATTGAATTGGAAATCCATACTTGATATCCTATTATTGTTTAATAAAGTATTTCTAAATAAATGAGATGGAATCGGAAGCTGATTTCACCCGTCAGGATGAGCTTTAAGCATTCCCATTTTTTATTGGCATTGCTATTCTGTGAATTCACTTACAATTTAGGGAGGAAGTAGCATAAAGCTTTGATTGTTTAACTTGCAAATCTGCTGCGCGGCCTGGTCCTCGGACAATGCCAGTAGACACGAGGCCCTGTTGTGCGTCGACAGTACATATTCTGCCGAGTATTACATCTCCTTCCGCCTTCAGGGAAGTTTCGGGGCGCTATGATACACATAAATGAAGTTTAATGGGACAGTCAGAGGTTGAATTGTTCTTGAGTTTCGAGGGCTCCTTCTTCATCAAGGAGATGATTCAATCTATCCGCCTGCCACCCAGAACAGTGCATTCCGATCAGAGTGTACCACGCTAATGCCACCATGGTTTTTTGTAGGTATCAAGTGACATTGTTATTGAAGAATTCGGAGCTAATGCATTGCTTGAGCTGTTCACAAGTTTCTTTTTTTCGAATGCCTTAGATTTAGGGCCATTGGTGGTTGCAGAAAGTAAACTCTCTATCTCTATCTCTTTTTTGAAATAACTTAAATAAAGTTACAGTGAAAGTTAAGATCTTGAGGAAATTGTACGTGTGAATTTAAAATGTATTGTGACTGTCGAAAAAAAGAAACTTTTCTATGGAAAACCCTTATACTATCAGAAACCCAAGGTAACTTTTCTTTAAGTCCCTGCAGTACTCCTTGAGCTACTCTGGAAGTAACAGTAAGTAAAGCGTTAGTTTGCGAAGACAAAAAAAGACTAAACAACTCGGCATGAGCCGATTTCACAGTTCTCTCAAGATGTCAAAATTTTAATCCCGGTTCAAAGTCAGGCAGTTTTGTGAGTTAAAGGGCGTGATGACTTAAAATCTTCTTAAAATCACCAATTGTAAGAAAACATGGTGCAGAACATGAAATGTCTCTGTTAAAATTTATGTTTTATTCTCAAAAACTGCAAGAAATCTTTAGTGGGTGCATATTCATTGTCGCTCGATTTGAGTGTTTTCATCCCATTTAAAGGCTTTCTGCCAAAAGCGAATTGTTGTACGCAATAATTCAAAAAAAGGTGCACCAAGATTTTAATGGATCAGTTTAAAAAGAATGAGAGAATAATTTTAAAAAAAATATTGAGACATTACAAACTTGCATAGATGTGAACCACGTACTTTGTCTTAAATCTTGGTGGATGTGGTGACCTGAATCGATATGAAGGATGAGTTTATAGTCAAAAGTTCGGACTTGGTTGCAAAACTTTCTCTTCATTAGGTGTTAAGATTTACAAATGCTATTCTAACAGAGTTTTAATGTAACTATATGGAATTCGTCACTACCCGATGGTGACTAAGACAGGTAATCATGTGAAAGGGTAGGTATAAAAGTAGTAGATTTGCCCATTCTATAAGTTAAAACATATTGATGTCAAGGAGATCGGCAAAATGAAGCCGCTGAAAGAATCCGTTTTTTGTAAAACACTTTGGTAATCTTTGCAAGTGTTTTCTTACTTGTACTAGCGCTGATAAACGTTTCTTATAAGAAGGATTTATACCGAATGAAGTAATTATTTTGCCCCAAACTTTCACTAGTTTTTTGGGACGCAATGGTTTCTTGTAAATTTAGGTGCATATTAATGTTTATAATATAAAGTGGAAGAATTCAATCACAAAATTTTGGAGGAAAACACCATAACGAACTTTCTTAGATAGCTACGACTAGGCAGGCTCCAGATTTCATCAGCAGTCGTGTAGAATACGGACTGGGATAGTTGCCGAAGGCAGGTGTCATTTTCGGTCCTTCTGTTTAGGGATCGTCCCAGTTTCGCCCGTCCTCAGTACATGTCTTTCTTCTGTCAAGTTACGACTTGGGATTCAGAAGTAGAAATCAGAGTTGTTATACTTTATGGTCAAATTTCCTTTCCGTTGCTACTAATTTAGCTCTCTGAGTCTTTCTAGCGGTAAAGAGAAGTCATAACACTAAGAGAGATAGTGCTGTGCTGACCAACAAGTTCGTGAAAGCTATTGCCATGGCTTGGAGGCCAGGCCACCCGAGAAAGGTACAATTGCGGGGACCCTAAGAGGTCCCTTATTGAAACCAGTGTAAAGACTTTGATAGAATGCACCAAAGCACTAGTAAGTCTCGTCAATTTGAGAGAATTTGAATTTTAAAACAAATGAAATGAAAGCCGAGCCGTAAAATCCAACTGATTTATCTGTCCTTTAGTAACAAAATACGAACAAATTCACATCTTTATTAACTTTTTAAATAATACATTTAGTTGTGTGCG